AGATGCCAAAGTTGGACAACGGCAAATATTGGTGAAAAAATGAAACACTGAACATGCTCATCCATACTGGTAGGAGTGCATGCTAACACCTTGATCTTGGACTTCCAGCTTCCAGAATTGTAGGAAATAAATTTCTGTTGTCTATAAGCCCCCCAGTCTGTGGTATTTTGTTACAGCAGCTGGAACAGACTGAGACATACACCAAAGTCTGGAGTATGCAAAGGAATAAACTGTGAACACCAGTCAACATGGATGCATCTTCAAAATATGCTGGTGAAAGAAGTAAGCCCAAGTACACACATAGTATGAGTCCACTTATAGAAAACACAGAGAAAAGCAACACAAAACAGTGTTATGTTGAGGTGTAGATACATGGGACATACATGGGAGAACAATGGTAAACAACACTCACCACAATGGCTTTAGAGGGAGGCAGACACAACAGGAGAGAAGCACATGGATTCTAGATTTCTGGTAACATCACACCTCTGAAACTGAATGGTGCACAAATGGTTGTCTGCTTTATCATTCCTTGTAAACTCTATTTTTATCATAGATGGGATATTTTATCATAAATGTCTAATGACAGCTTGTTCAGTGACATCAGTGTGTGGAGAGGCCTCACCACTCCCCCAGCTGGGCTAGCGTCCACCCTCCCTCACAACCCTGAGGAAACCTGCCTCTCTGCTGAGTGGTCAAGGGCCCCTTTAGTTGTGTTCAGGCCAGGCAGGCACTCCAGTCCTTACCTGGCTGAGATGTACAGACTCCAACTTGGCATAGTCTGCTGCCTCCAGTTAGAATTCCTCTGCCAGGCAGGTAACCGAGCCCACACTGTGCCCGATTTCCTGGGGGTATCTCCTTTCTCTAGCTAATGGCTGTCTGCCTGCTCTCAGGGTGCTGTCCCCATCTGTCTTGCACAGAGCAGCAGCAGCTGGACTGGCAGGCCCACGAGGGTGCCCAGAACTACCCCTGGCATCCAGTCCTCTCACCACCCTGGTGCCAAAAAATCCACCGCTTGTTCCTAAGCATCCCTCAGCCTGCTGCCATCACCAGATGTGGCATGTGCGTGACCATTCGGGGGTCCTAAGAGACCAATGATTCAACTTGGATAGAGGAGTCATTCTTACAGTACACGTTTGAATGCTGTAGAAAGAGACACAGACTGGTTGTTCAAAACCTGACATCCTGCACAGCCTCTGCATCTCCTCTTCAAATCTGAACCTCCAATATAAATGATCATTTTTACCTTCTTTCTAGAAACAGTGCCCTCTGCCTCATTAATGCACTTTTGTTAGGAATGTCCACAGACCACAGAAAAGCAAATTTAGCAAAGTTGCTAGTAAGATAAACTACTAATACCTCTCTGAAGCTAGAATGGAAAAGAATTAGAAGCGATTAAACATAAAATAGTTGGCAGGCTCATTTCATTAGATCCATACTTGCAATATGAAACTATACCTTAAAAATAGAAGTATTTTTTCTTACATAGGAAACAATGTCTTTCTTCTTCACAATTAAAATGAAAAAAAATTGTTAGATCACAGCAAAATGGGATAAGAAATGCCTTTGAGGTTTTATTTTTATAGCAGAAAATAACTGCAGAACTTTTACCCACCTAAATTAGCATAGGTTTAAAGCTATACTCTGCAATACTGTCTCTGCTGTCACTAACATTAATTAATAATTAAGAGGACAGTTAAAATAAGAAAAGGAAGAGATTTAAAATCCTACTTTCAGTGGAAAAGTACTAGAAGAAAACATGAGATAATTCTTTTGATAATTTTAGGGAGCACAGAGCTTTTCTCCACAAAACTTTGTGTCAAGAACTATAAAGAAAAAAGATTAATAAATTTGTCTACACCCAAAAAACTTTTAAGTTCTGCATTCCAAAAAATATCACTTTAAAAAATCGAAAGGCCAATAAGAAATGTGGGGAAACATTCGCAACATCTATGGTAGTAAAAGGGCTACTTTCCTTCATAAGTAAAGACTCTTACAAATAAGCATTACCAATAACCCAATAGAAAAATAGCAACCCATAGGAAAAACACAGATTGCTTACAAACACAAGAAAAGAATATTTAGTCTCACCTATAAGGACAGAAATCCAAGTCAAAGCAGTGAGAGATACATTTTCCATCTAACAGATAGGCAAAGATCCAAAAGTGTGGATAGATCATGTTGCCGAAGTCCCAGGGAAAAGCATATATTTAACTCAGGACATCTTCTAGGAAGTTATCCTACATACACCTACACTCATACTGAATACAAAGACCTGTATGCAGAAAGAGGTTTCCTGCAGCATTGTTTGCAATGGTGAAGGAATGAAAACAACCTGAATGTTCCCCACCGGAGGACTGTGCCAATAAAATATGTTATACACAGTGAAACCTTTTGCAGCCACTAAAATAAGGAGTATGTCCAGCTATGCAGTGGCCTCTGAGATATGGTCTATAAGTTGTAAAAACAAAGTGTGTATGGTGCACTTCCATTTTTAAGTGATAGATGATTGTAGATACACATAGAAGGTCAAACAAGAAGTTGCCAACATTGGTTGGTCGGAGCAGGGCCCACTATGTAATCCACAGAGCCCCATGCAAAATGAAGCATGGAATCCTTTGTTCAAAATTTGTTATGAATTTTGAGACTGCAGAAGCAAAGCAATACACCAAACAGAGCACGCTCTTGGACACTGAGCCCTGTGTGACTCCCCACATCACAGGCCCATGCACCTGCCCACCTCAGGGGAAGGAACTAGAATGGCAGGGCTCTGAATTTTCCCTGGAGTCAACTTTTGAACCATTTTAATTTTCCAGTGTGTACATGTATTAATCTTTTAATTTCAAAATATTTAATAAAAAATAAAACAAAGATTGTCCACCATCACTACCTCACAAAAAAACCCTTATTCTCCTTTTCCTTATCAACAAGAGCCAGAACCCTTAGAAATACTTAGAAATATGAGTCAGGGTGGAGGGATGTCAGGAGATGGGGAATTGTGGAGTAGGCAAGGGTCAGGGGTAGAGGGGAGGACCCTCCCTCACAGAGGAAATCCCCTCTACACCCTGGGAAGCCCTAGCTTGAAACCACAGGAGAGCGGGACTGGACCGCATGTCTCCTAAGTAAGTGCTTGCCACGTTTTGAATTCCACTATTTGAATACACTCCCACACCCATGGGGCTTTGAGCCAAGCCTCTGAAGATGCGAGGAGAGCCACATAAGTTCATAGAGCCCTGCACTGCATTCAAAAGTGTCCCCCACAATTTCATGTCCACCTGGAACCACGGCAAGTGACCTTATTTAGAAATAGGATATTTACAGATGTAATTAGTTACAATGAGGCCATACTGGATTAGGGTGAGCTCTACTCCAAAGACTGTTATCCTTGTAAGAAGGCCAAATGAAGATGCAGAGATTCACAGGGAGAATGGAGGCAGACATGACACTAATATTTCTATGCGCCAAGGACCGCCAAAGATTGTGGGCGACACCCAGAAGCTGGGAGAGAGGCCCAGAACAGATGCTCCCTTCAGGCCTCAGAAGGGTCCTGTCCTACTGACAGCTGGATTTCAAACTTCGGGCCTCCAGAACTGTGAGGGAATAAATTTCTGTTATTTTAAGACACTGTACTCATCAGCTCCAGCTGACATAACAAAATATCACAGAAGGGGTGGTTTAAACAACAGAAATGTGGTTTCACGTAGTTCTGGAGTCTGGAAGTCCGAGCTCAGGGCACCAGCATGGCTGGGTTCTGGTGAGAGGTCTCTTCCTGGCTTGCAGATGGCTGCCTTCTGGCTGTGTGCTCTTTCTCTCTCCCTCTCTGCCTCTTCCTATATGGGCACTAATACCACAATCCCACCCTCACGACCTCATCTAACCTCTCTCACCACCCAAAGGCCCCATGTCCAAATGCCTTTCATATTAAAGGTCTGGCCTTCAACATATCAGGGGACATAAGCATACAGACCCTAATAGCCAGGAAGTCTGCGATACTTTGTTACATCAGCCTGAGAAACAAATACAAACCCCCAACGACTAAACAATTCTTGTTTTAAGTAAGAAGCCCAAAAGCTTTTCTGTAAATGGGCAGAAAGCAAATATCTGGGGTTTTGTGGGTCATATGGTCTCTCAACTCTGCCTTTGTGCAAGTTCAGCCACAGACAATAGGTGAATGAAGTAGTGTGGATGTGTTTCAGTAAAACCTTATTTACTAATAAAACAAGCAGCTGTATGCCTTGGCCCCCAGGATATAGTTTACAAATATCTGCTTTAGATTTTAAAAAACATAGTAATAAAGAAAAGCTAACCTAAAGGACTTGAAGTTTTAAGTAGCAAGAAGAGAAGAGGGAGTCACAATCCCTACACCTGGCTCCAGCCTTCAGAAACAACACAGCTCTGATCAGTTCCCTCCACCTTCCAGAGCCCTGAATGTGGCATCTGAAAAATAACCCAGAAGGTTTAGATGACCCCTAAGATAACTCCCAGTTCACATATTCTAAAATTCTTGAATTGTTAAATGTTTCTTTCCAACAATTTGATTTACAATCAAATGTCCAAAACACTTCTTAAAGTATTTAGATACATTTACACAAAATTATCTTGCATCTACTGTAAGGCTTTGCTTCTGTAAACCATTCTTTGTAAAACTGAAAACCTCCCGTGTGTCTTTATAGGGATGTGTGTACGCGAAGGCTAATCAGAACTCCTTTCCAACTAAACGCACGTATTGTTTGAACAAGTGACTATAACTCTTCCAAATAAAATGAGGAACCTAAAATAACCCCAAGAGTTTCTAAATCATTTTATTATTTCCATCTTTTTGTAAATCATGAGTAGTGATATTTCACAATGGATTTCTCATCCAGGTATTGGATCATAGAACTAGATCATGACCTGAAAATTATGAATAATTTCCAAGGCTGCCTCAAAACCAATCTGCTTTGAGCAATTTCTGATAAACACACATGCAGAAGACTCTTCTAAGAAACCAAAATACTCACCCCACAATACTGCTCTTCATTGAAGATCTGGGGAGGCAAAGGAATCCCATTTTGAGGTTTTTTCTCTCCAGGAACATTCTCTCTCATCCACTTCCTATTGTCTTCATCTCCAGCTATATCTAATTCCTTAAAGTCGATTTTATTAGCTTCCAAAAAGCCCACTACTTCTTGTTGTTTCTTCCTAATCTGGTCAAATGCAGAAAAAGAAAAATATTAGACTACTTCTTAAAAAATATGTTTCTTATGTTTACCCAAATTAAATTATTTCTCCAATTATACCATACAACATATAATACTGCTTAGTATCTAAAAAATCACACCTCTTCATTATAAAGGATCAACAGAGTGGTTATTCAAATTCTGAAGTTTTAATCTCTTCAGTGTTTAAATCATGGTTATAATCAACCTAATAGAAATAGAGATGCTCTCATGATAGCTTGTATTTGAGGTCTTATAAATACATTTAATTCTCCGCTAAGCTCTAGTGCCAAAAAATAAATAAGAATTGGTTATGAAGAAAAAGGATGATTGGGAGAAAAAGAAGAAAAGAGAAAAAAAAGACAATTTACTACAAAATTCAAATGCCAAATATACCCACATAAAATATCCCTTCATTCAGTTATTAAAATAGGAACATGCGTCACAGTAAACAAAAGTAGGTTTAGAAGTAACACGGGAAATTGAAAAGCCCACATGGAGCTCATGGGACGGAGAAGGACAGAGGAAATGCTGGAAAAAGCTGGTGGATATTTCTCCCATGACAAAGGAGTAACACAGAAAAATAACCCCGTCCTTCCCCAGATTTCTCCTCTCGTGCTGACACGCAGCTCCTTCCCTGAGAGGGGAGCTCCGGCCGCAGGTGAGAGGGAACCCTCAGCACCATCCTCCACCCCGGCTCCCACGCTGAGACTGGCTGCCTGACCCACTGACGTTTCTCCTGCCATCTTTAAAGCTAAGCTCCTTCCCCAGACACATTCCAACAATTTTCTCTCTTGAGTAAAAGAATTCACTCCCAGAAATGCACGATGCCTCTTTTTATGAACACGGGTAAACAAGGTACAGCAGACTCTGCAGACCATATTTTAAGAACCTCTGGGAGACATTCCCAGAGGGATCAATAATAAATCAACAGTTATCTATTGCCTCTCTCCTTTGGATAAGGCATTGTACCAAGCTCTTCATGTGAATAGATTCATAAGCCACTTATTTGGGTGAAAAAAAGATAAAGAACTCATTTGTACAATCTACACATAGAACACGCTAAAGATGATAAAGAGGCAAATACGGTCATGCCTTAAAGGTGAGATTTAAATTTTAAACGTATTTTCTTTGACATGAAAACGCCTATTTTTTAAGTCCTCTTAGACTTAAAAGACTATTGTCTCATATGAAAACAAGTCATTAAAAATGTTTTATAGAGTAGGAGGCCCCTTGTCTTTTTCGTGTAACTTTATCAGCAGAGAGACTAGACATGGAAGATTCCAAATAAATGCTGTGAAATATACATGCCCATCCCAAACCTAATGTCTAGATTCAAACCGTCTTTTGGTTAAACCCAATTCCTTTCAGAGAGATTTGTATACCACCCCCTTGCCAAAAAAAAAAACAAAATGCTCTTATTTTATTCATTTTGCCAAAATGAGAGAATCTAGCAATGATTCCTGTGTAGAGTGTTTCTTTCTTGGGTGACTTTCTATTACAACATCCCATCACACCTGATTTAGTTGTTGGACTAAATCATTATTTAATTAATCATGTTCTCTCTATCCATACTTTCCAACCTGTCCATAATTATTCATGCCACTTTATAAATTATTTATTCCTTTTGATATTTTCAGAGATAATGTTGCTATTTTGAAGAGTAGAGATGTCTTCATTTTTGGCAGGTTTACTTTTTAAATAAGGAAAAGTAAGGCACATATGGATGCGTAAGCCCTGTAATCAAATCATGTCCAAAAACAAATATGATATAACTTGGTATTTGTGATGTCTTGATTATATATATTATATTAACAACACAAAACAATATTAAATAATTTAAAAGTTATTTTCTAAATTCATATAAATATAATTATATATTGTAAATTTTCATATATAAATTTCATATACACGTATATATATAAATGATAATCACACATTTACTTTTTAATCAACACTTGTACCATCAGAACAAAGATATTGCCACTGAAAGCACTAGATCAATAAATTAAAGGCTGCTATTAGCTACAATACAGCACTTAATCAGTAAGACTGGGGCCGAGGCATGTGTTTCAGTTTAGGGCAAGCGTGGACAGAAATAAAAATCAAAGTCATCAGAAAGGTGTGGAATGATGGAATTCCTGCAAGCTTCTAGCATAAGCACCCTGGCACAGTCCTTAGTGTAACATCTATCAGACCAAAGAAGGAACTGCATGTTTCTTCACCAGTGTGTGCCCTTCCCTGAGGCCATGCTGGGTAGCCACCAGACCCTCTGCTCCTCTTCTCCAAATTCCATAACTTCACAGCTGAATTTCTGACTATTACAAAACCCCATCACACCAGATGACAGGCTGTTGGACTAATCATTATTTAATTCATCATGTTCTCTCTAACCATATTTCCTAACCTGTCCATAATTTTTTCATACCACTTTATAAATTACTTATTCTTTTAGATATTTTCAGAGATAACTTGGCTGTTTTGAAGAGTAGAGATGTCTTCATTTTAGGCAGGTTTACTTTTAAATATATATTGAGAAGGCAACACCCTTTGTCCAAACCCCTCTCCCCTTCCTTCTCAAAGACCGTCCCAGGAGACCAGGTGAGCCTAGCTGACGTGCATTGCCACCTCACCAACATGATTTCCATCCCTGCTAATCATCCCTTGGGACATAAGGTGAGATGGAAAAAGGATTTCATTTTATTTCACGATTCCTAAATAGATGAAAAACATTTCTCAAGTCCTGACTTGTTTCTTCTATTGGAAAGTCAAAGAGAGATGGAGAAGATTCCTCTCGGGGCAGCACTTTCACCTGCAGGAAGTCAACGATGGCTGGGTGCTGGGTACTGTGTGACATTTCTTAGCCCAAACCCATAAAAAGGAGAAGAAGAATTAAGCCTGCCCCCTCTGGGCGCCCCAAACCCCAGTGACTCAGACAGGCCACGGCATGGCTTCTCTGGCTCCCGGGGGCGCTGGAGCTCTGCCGGGGGCAGGGGAGGGCCCTTAGGAGGAGCCTGGAGGGAGCAGTGTGCCCGCCCTGATGCCCACCCTGGGTGCAGGCCCTCTTCTCACCCCCCATTCTGTGCCCTGTCCAAGGGGCCCCCCAGAACCCTGACATTCAAGTGCAGCCCTTTGTGCGGCCTCTGAGCTGACCCCCAGGGACACAGCATCATCTCCCAGGGGAAGCCTCCCCTTAATGGCCTCAGGGGTAGGCTGTGCACAACACCCAATAGCCCTCACCACGATCCACTCCCCACTCCACCTCTCGCCCCCTGCCCACTCCCCAGGGCACCATGGCCAATGCTGGCCCTGCAGGCTACACCGGCCTTCTATGCTGTGCCCCCCCTGGAAGGTCTGGGGGTCCTTGGAGTCTGGGTCTTCAGTGGAGCCTCAGAGAGCAATTTTCTGTCCTGTCACATTAGTGGTAAGAAAGTACTGTTCTCCATCCCAAAGTCATCAGCTGCTGTTGGTCAATGTGATATGTCAGAGTGACCTTCGGGCCACTCGCCTGGCACCTGTTTATTGTCTTGTACAGTTAGGAGCCTTGCCACCCGAAATCACTGCATTGCAGAGAAAAGCACATGCATTTGAGTGAGAGGCAACTGAGCGTCCAGGCTCAGAGGGTTGCTGGCTGAGTAGGGGATCTGTCTTCAATTGCCTCGTCTGCAAAATGGGTAGAGCACTGCCTTCCTCATGGGTTTGTTGAGCGCTGAGGAAGATAATGTTTGGAAAAGTGCTTTGGCCACCAGGTGAGAAGCTGCACAGCCAGGCACCCACACACCATTACCTCATTTGCTCGTCTGGACTGCATGCAGCTAAGTGTCCAGACCTCCACTCTACAATAAAACTGAGGCACCAGTGAGTTAAAGAATTTTCCAGGGTTTATACCCAGATCCATTTAATTCAAGAACCAGGTCTTCCTACTGTATTTATACCCTTTCAAGACAGGGGAAAGGATTAAGAAATCCAGGAGCCAGTCTTAGGGTCTGTCCTTACTTGGTTACACGGGCTGCGCACCCAGAAAATAGCAAGGACTGTCCTCTTTCCTTTGTCTCCCAGCCCACAGTGGCAATGGCCTTCAAGAAAAGAGGTGGGTCATACAAGGCTTTCTCCTGCTCCCAGGGTCTCTTTACCCAAATCCCTCCGTAAAGTTGTAAAACATGTAACTGCACTGTAGCACCAACTGTGAACATGGGGATGTGAAACACAGCCACATATGTGTCACCCTCATGAATAAATTACAATTCCTTTTTCCCTTTTCAATTATTTCATTCACCCAGTTAGAAGTCATAATGCCCTCATTGAGTAGGTCGCAGACAAGAGTCCATTTTTAAAGTATAGACTGAAGAAATAGGCAGTAAAGTTTCCCAGACCCACCACACACACACACACACACACACACACACACACACACACACACACACACACACACACACACACACACAGTGTAAGTACTGGCAGTTGCTCTGGGGTTTTCCTGCAAAGAAGCTCCTGGGGGAAAGTTCCCCACCCAGGAAAAATCATTAGCACTGGTACCACAGGAAGAATCAGTTCTCATTCTTTAGAATAAGACATTCATTCATTTAAGTGGCTTGGGACAATTCTTCTGAAACATATTATCATAGAGTCAGATCTACTGGTAGTAACAAATAATTATAACCATTATGATAATATTAATTTAACTAACATTAAATAGCAATGATAACTAATAGTTCTAACAATTATAATAGTAACTAGCCACAGCTAACAACTACAGCATTAACTAATAATTATACTATTTATCGAGCACTGACATCATGCCGGGCACTCCATGCTCATTTCCTAAGCCTTCATGACAAGGCTATGAGATGAATACTATTCTTATCTTCATTTTACAGATACGGAAATTGAGGCTTAGCAAGGTGAAATAACCTTCCCAAGGTCACACAGTTCCAAATGGCACTTTTTGCTTAAGGAGCTAGAAGAACTTAACTTTTCCAAGATCCTGGGTACCCCTCCAGATCCCCAAGGCTAACTAAACCATATTCCCAAACGTGAAGAATGCAGGACATCAAATAACCCTAAGAAATCCGTAAGTTTATTTGTTGTCTCCAGAATGATGCGTAGGGCCACTCAGACCTGGTCTGCAGAATATGTAGAAGGTTGGTAGGTTAGTAGTACTAGTTAACAGCATTGAAGGTTAACAGCATATTGAAAGCCCACGAAAGCCTTTTGCCTCAAAAAAATCACTTTTTATCTTTGTAGATTAACTAAACGTTTCTGCAGTCATTCTATGAGATTCTATAATTTTACATTCGAAATTTTTTATATTTTTCTGATAAAAATGCTCTACAGAGCACTAAACAGGTACTGATCTGTTGTGCTCAGAAGGAACCACTAGTCTCTTTTCTCTTGTTTTCTAACCCTTTCTGGAAACTGCGTGAACATTCAGGGCTGGGAGTGGCGGCACCCAAGAGCTGCTGTTGGGGCTGTTTGCAGGCCAACAGCTGGCCTCAGACACCATCCATGGCCGAGCAACTGCTGAAGCGCACGCTGCAACCTGAGGCAGCCCAGGCGCTAGATATAAAAGGAAACAGCCGCCTTGGGGGTGTCCAGCTCTCGGGGTTAATCACTGTTTTCTCTCCACAGCCTCTTAAATGCTCATGTGCTAGTCGAAATGTCAGCCCCAGATAGAAACCGCTGACTCAAGCCTAAAAGCAAAACCCTTGTCATTTCCAAGGAGAAATGAGTCCCTCCATGACCCCTATACTTATGGCAGGTCTGTCCTGCCCAGAGAGGAGGAAGGCTGGAATTAGAGGGTGGGCGGGTGATTTTGAGCCTGGTCCCAAGGAATTCAGACAAAACAGGGTTATGAGGGGTCTCCTTTTAGTACCTATTTTTGGTCTGTTTGAATTCTTAGAGCATTTAAAACAGTGGCCTTAGAGATGTTTGCTCTTATCACTGTGACATCATCCTTCTCAAATAACAGTATTATACATGCTAACTTTACACTTCAGTATGGTTATGCTGCATACACAAGTACACCCAGTCATTTTAGTGATCTAGTTCATCCCACGCTCCAAATATTGTTACACAAAGTGTCATTTATTTGCAACCCTAAGTTAGTCTAAGCCCTACAGAATGAATGGAAGAAACATTCCACAAAAACACCTGATTCTATAGTAAATGCGACAACACAACACAAATCACATGTTAAAAATCCTAGTATCAAGCATGCCTCCTTCCTAGAGTCCCCTCCCCCACTCAGTTACTCCAGACTACTCGGTTTGTATGCTTCTTCAACACCATTAAAACAAACACAGAAAAGCAAAGGACATACAGGCTGACAGCAGAGCCACAGTCTACTTACTCCTCAAAAGGAACTTAAGGCCAACGCTGGCCATACCCGCTCTTTCTACTCCCAAGTCTGAGTCATTCAGAAAATAGTCAGGAAGAAAGCCCCCCAAATGCCATCAGACACCTACCGCTATGGACCCAGAAGATGTGGCAACAAATACTTTGATAACCATTTTGATGGTCGGAAAGAGGACTCCCCCCAACACACCCCTTGAGGGGACGGGCGCTAGACAGATCCTGACAGTGACACAGACAAGCCAGTGCCAGGTGGGAGCTGGCAGCAGCCCAGGGCCCGTCTGAGCCCCTCCAGTGCCTGCTTCAACCTAAGCTCTGCCTCTCTGAGGGGCATTCCAGACATCCTGGGTTTATCCCTCCATTGGCCCAGCAATATTTGGGGATCTGTCAGGAAAATACCTGATTGGTTGATAAAAGCAGCCACTGGCCCTTTGCCCTTATTCCTTTAGATGCCTGACAACAGTCCCTAAAAGGCAGGGCTGTGTGGCACACCAATCAGAGACCTGTGGAGAGAGGCCCAGGGAGGGGAGCTGGGGCCCTGGGCGCCAGAGGAGCAGAGAGGAGGGAGGTGCTTGGGAGCTGGAAAAGCCCAGAAATCACCAGCTCAGTCCCAGCTGAAGCTGTTAAGGCTTTCACAAGCAAATAGAAAGGGTCAGAATGGCCACGGAGGCCTTTAAATAAAGATCAGTTTCCTTACTTCAAAGTTTTCTGGCAGGTTTTTAAAAAACTTCAGTGAACTGTCTTACAACAGATTCCTTTATGAGTGGCCTGTTTTATTTTCTCCCTGTACCATCTGTTTCTCCTAAAGAGCAGCTGACAGGCTGTAAGTCCAGGGAAAGAAAATCCCAGGGCAAAATACCTCTAAAAACCAAAATCAGTCAAAGGGAGAAATTAAGTTTAAAATCTACTTATTGCTTACAAACTGCAGTTCCGGTTGTCTCTCTCTCCTACTCCAGCAGAAGGAAAACCAGCCCTCCCCTCACCTCTCAGGTACAGATAAGCCCTCCTTGCCCAGATAATTACCCATTGATATGGAGATGAACTTCTCTCCACTCCTGAGGAATGATGCAAATGCACTAAAGCCACACTTCTTTCCACCTCTGAACACCTATTGATATGCAGATATACTAAAGCCAGGTGAGATATTCTGGAAATATTACAATTTTACCCACACAGGCCAAGGAGACCATGTGAGGTATAACTGACATTCCAGATGAGGTGGGGAGGTAGTGTGTGGCTTGTCAGTAGTAATAACTTTAACAAACAAATTGCTTCACTGATTTAGAAATGTTGGGGGTGCAGGGGGTGAATGGGAATAAATGGTCTGTTTATAACAGGCTCTCTCCATCTTATTCATGTAATTTGAATTGTGTTAAAAGTCAGAGGAATTACAAATCTAGTTAAGAAGGCCAAATGTGAGCCCCCCATCTTTTCTAATGAATTGAAAAATCAAGATCAAGGACTTTAGGGGCAGAGGCACGGGGGATATAAGTTGCCTCTTAAGTAACTAAGTTGCTCTCTTATTTTGTTTAAATTGTCTGCTACTCCTGGAAGCCATGGCACTGGAGGCCTGGGGAAGGCAGGGATCTGCACCTGCCACCTTCCCAGAGTCCCAGAGGCCTGGAGGCCTGCTCCCCTCCCAATCAGACAGGTGCCTTGGATGAGGAAAGACGTCCTGTTCCTGGAATATAGCTCAAATTCATTTACACCAGGATGGATGGTTGAGATGCCTCCACGACAATTCAACTTAAAGCCTCAAGATGCAAACTTTACTCCCCAAATTAGGTCCTTGGAGAAGATGATTAATGCCTCCCCAAATTTAAGTCACTAGCATTATAAATTTTAAAGCCCACCAAAGATAGGTCATTTTAGCTTTTCTGCCTTTTCAAAATTTCTAAAGTAGATACTACTTTTGTCATAGAAAAAAAGTCTACCACATGAGTATGCTATTTTGCTCCAAATATTAAGTATGCATATTTCTTAACAACTGTAGATTAGTAACAAACTATTGCTGGATTCTCACAGACCCTAGAGAATATACATCTGCCAGTCATATTTGGCAAAACTTCAATAATGACACCCCCTCCATCTTCAAACCCTGGAGAGAAATGTATATCCTACTTGAAGTGATAGTTAATTGTTACATGTTTGCCACATGCCAGATTCACACTAAGTGCCTTGCATAAACCACTCCTTTAATTTGCATAACAATCCTATGACCAATGGGTCCTATTGCTACCCTTCTTCACCGATGAGGTCTTAGAACTGCAGATGATGGGAATGATAAATGGTGTATCCAACACTCGAACCCAACCATTAGCTCATTACCACCCCAGAAAACCTCCTGATATACTTCAAGTTCCTAGTGCGTATTTTTTTCACTCTGAATTATTTTTAGACATTTATCCCTTTTCATAATGACCATGAAACTGTACAAATTAGAAGTTGCAAAACTCTAGCTGAAAGATCCTTTATCACAGTAACACCAATAAGCTTCAAGGTAATAGGAATACCAAACATTCCAAATGAGTCTTAAAATAAAGCTCAATAAATATGACTTAGAAAATTCACTTCAGAAATAAGCTCAATGCTCTGGTGAAGATGCAGGGAGCTACTTATTTCACATCTCCAGTCCTTGATGTTTAAGTCAAATAACAATACTTTTAGATTTAACCTACTTGTTTTGAACAATTTCCTCTTTTTTTTTTCAGCTTTATTGAGGTATAATTGACAAAATTGTAAAATACTTAAAGTGTACACGGTGATTTGATATACGTATTGTGAAAAGATGTATGTATAGCAATATACATTGTGAAAGGATGATTTGACCTAATTTTAATGATAAAAGTATGAGGTATTGGCTCCAAAATTCAGAGATCCTCAGATTGAGACAAGGACCATGGGTGTAGTCAGAGTAGGGTGAGGGCCTCCGGAAAAAGACCCCTACCAAAACTCCATATTAAACAATTAAACAAAGACAGAGTCACATTAATTCTCTAAAGTAAAATATCAAACTAAGAATATAAGCATTCTTCAGTGAAGATTAGTTAAAACTAAAAAAACAGGAATAACCTGGCCTGGAATGTTTGAACATCCCCCAGATAAGAAAATACCTCAGCATAGCCCATGTCTTGTTTGTGTCAGTTAAATGAGGCTATTGTAAAATCTACTTAAGCCTGCTAAGAGGCCCAGTTTATCTTTAACTTTACCCAGATGCTGCTTTTCCTCCTCCAGCCCTAATCAAGTCAGTAACTCAGCTCACCTTGACTGCAGAATTCTAGCCCTGGAACTGTGAGAGAACACGTTTCTGTTGTTTTAAACCACAGGTTCTGTGGTAATTAGTCAAAGCAGCTCTAGAAAACTAATACAGAGATGGAAGTAACCACCTTTATTACTAAAAAGCAGTTCAGCTTTGTACGTCAAGGGGCTCTCCCTCGTCCGTTCATACACTGATGAAGAGAACGTATAAACAAAGGCTGGACACTGGAGAAAGCTAGCAGAAGAGAGGGAGACTATTCAGAGGGGAAACGTAGTTCTGAGGAACCTCCGTCTTTGCGGATCCTGCACTCCTAAGTAACCAGGTTTGGGATGATCCCTTAATAATAAACTGCCAATTTTGTTACTCTCCTTGGGGTACCACTGTTGGATTCCCCTGAGGAAGGCGCCGCCCCAAATCACTCACCAAAGACATTTCTTGATGCAACAAGCAAGAGGAATTTATTCGGAAGCCAACTAGTTGGGGTCCAAGTCAGCCCGTCGCAGCAGGTCTCAACGAGGACCCTGAGCACTTACAACTAAGTGGTTATATAGGATTTTCTGAGGCATTCAGCCCTAGAGGATTACCATGGTTACAGATTGTGTTGCAGTAACAAGATAACAATACTACATAGCAAGATAACAATACTACAAAGGCAGTAATTTTTCAAACCTACGATTTCTGGGTTAGTGCCACGTCCTGGGGGTGTAGCAAGGTAGGGTCAGCTTTTATGCTTAACTAACCGAAAGGTTAGCGCTGCCAGCAGTCATGATTGATTAACTTGTTTTTCCAGAGGAGTTACCTGGTTTCAGTTGTTCCCTCTGAGTCATATGTCAGAATGGTTTTCAGGCTTCAAGATGGCTACTCTTAGGCTAACTTATTTCTCAGGGAGGTTGGGGTCCTACACCACCAGCCATGAACCAGGCATCTTTCCATGAATTTCGGGTCTAGGTACGTGTCTAAGGAATGTCCACCCTGAGATGCTGCCCGGCTCACCACCAATGAAAATAATCACCACCCATGTTATAGGAACCACCGAAGGTTGAAGAGGCACACAGCCCACCAAATTAAGAGTGGGCACCCTAACACACAGGCGGAGGAAGGCGTGGGATCTGAAAGGAAAAGCTAGTATTAAACAGAGTCAGCTTGGAAATGCCACGCAAATGCAAAAACCATCAAAGGAAAATGGGATAAATTTGACTCTACACAATTATCAAAATACATCGTGAGCAAAATCAAAAGGTAACTGACAGACTGAAATATCTGCAACACATACCACAGACCTGAGTTTCAGAGAACATCAAAAGTCCTAACCAATTTTTACAAAGATGAACACCAGGAGAGAAAAAAATGGGCGAAAGGCAAAAAGACAAATCACAAAGAATAAAGTCAGTAAAAATCTGAAAAAATACCTATCCTGGTAATCAAAGATGTGAATAAAATCAAAAATCAAAATAAAGGGTCAATTTTTTATAAAAACGGGCAAACGTTTTAAAAAACTTATCCCCAATGTGGGTCAAAACAAACTTTCCTATATATACCTCAGAAAGCCTCAAAGTGGGCATCATACATCCTTTGATTCTTTTTTTTCACATGTAGGAATTTATTTCAAGGAAACCGATACAACGTGGGACAAATAATATAAATGTTCGTTAATTATGCCTACGCAGTCATTAAAAGTTCCTATGCAATTATTTAAAATCACCTATAATTCCTTCATCTAGGTGATTTTTTTCTTTTTCTTGTACTTTCTCGTACCTTCTAAGTTGCCTAAGCCAAACACGCATTTCTGGGGATCAGATTCTTCGACCACAGAAATCCATCTTCAGAAAGAGAGGCTGAGGAGCGCTCTGCTCTCGGTCCACGCCCGCCCGCCCAGGCCCACCCCTTCCCGGGGGAACCTAGCGTCCCCGCTGCCCGCTGCGCAGCCCTCTGAAGCCCTGGCTCTCAGCCCGTCCACGCCCTTCCCAGCAGGGGGCGGGACACGCAGGGTCAAAGCCCCCCGTGCGCGGGCGAGAGCGACAGCGCCCAAGGGCCGGCCGGTCTCCCATGGGCAACGCGGCGGGAAGCCAATTTACAGACGTCTACGGCTCCGCCTGGCCCCACCTCGGGAGAAGAAACGCGGGGCCTTACACCTTCCCACGCCAGCTCCCTGCCGCCAAGACGCGTTCCCGGTGCGCCTGCGCACGCGCGCGGCTCCGAACCCTAACTCGGTCCGTCCCAAGAGGCCCTGCGCGCAGGTTTCCAGGGCAACGCGCCGCGAACCCCTGCGGGGTTGACGCTGCCACGAGGCCGCGCCGGACAGGTAACCCCCGTGCTGCCGCCGCGGCAGTCCGAAGCCCCCTGCTAAGCTATCCCGGCTTCCCGGTGGTGCCCGGGGACCAGCCCTTGGCCCTGCCCGGCGCAGGCCTCAGGGCCTCGCTCACCCGAGGTGGTAACGTAGCCGGATCGTCCGGCCTGACCTGCCCTAAGTGTGGCTGCCACGCCGCGCCGCTGGGGGTGGGGGTGGGGCATTCGGGCAGGGGGCCACTCCCCGCTGGCCCGGGGAGGGCGCCAGGACCACGGTCACCCCACAGCCACACACGGGCCGGTCTCACCCCGCCCCGCACTCGCAGGCTGTCGCCGATATTTCTCTTTTATATCTGAATCTGATACGCCCAGTTTTGCATCTGCCTACTTGCCCTTGGTTTGTTTTGGCGTTCCCTAGTAACCTGAGCGCCGACTTCTCCCTGTCCCCAGCCCGTGGAAGTCCGAATCCTTTGAAATGTCTGCCCCCTGCTCGCTGTCCTTGGAGCTCTTTGCCCACAGTTTTCCCGTAGTGCTTTAGCATTTCGTTGCCACAACTGTACCAAGGGGTAATTTTTTCAGACCAGTTCTCCACTGCTGAACAGGACCTTGAACTGTTTTTCTGTCTGCACCCACTCCCTAGATGAATTCATCCAGTTTCATAGGCTCAAAACTCATCTAAATGCTGTTAAGCCCCAAACATCTCCAGCCCAGACCCTCGTCTGCACGTAAGACGCATGTACCCAACTGCCTGTCCACATCTCCACTTAAATGTCCAAGGCATCTCCAACTCAGCAGGTCAGGCCACCACCTGACATTCCACCAAACCTAATCCTCCCACACTTTTACCACCTGCCCCCATTCCTGGAAACTAGCAGTTGTGCATGCCTTAAAGTCCTCCGTGACTCCTGTTTTTTTCCCTTCCCACATTCAGTCTATCAACAAATCCTTCAAAATGCACCCAGTTTAGATGCACAATCCTACCATTTCGCCCAACACACACTGTCACCGCCCTGGCTTAGGCCACCATCACCTGGTGCCTGGATTCTTTCAGTAGCTTCCTAATTGGCATCCCTGCTTATGCCCTTCCCGCCTTAAGGTTAGACAGTCTTGACACTGTTTTCTCTTTCTCTGATATTTCATGTGAATAAGTTTTCTTAAAAAAGGATATGAGTTTTACAGTTTCCATAGATAAAAATATAACACCTTTAGTACACATTTTGAGAGTTGCAACTTTAAACCAGGTAGACAAAGTTACATAAGGACCATATTGTTAACAAGCCAAAAATTGAAAGATACCCCTTCACTTTCTTAGGCACATGACAGTGTCCCTGGGTGGAACTATGGCAAGAACTTTAAAACTGTTCAGAGGAATAAGATAATTCGGAACTTTATGGTAAGTGAGGAAAAGTCATGGTAGTTTGTTCCATACTCTTGTTTCTTTTAGCACCAGAAGAAGCAAATTGAAATGGAGGGAAACAATTGCCCCTGTACTGTTGATGTTGCTAGTGAGGACCTGGGTGCTGAGGCTCTAGGCAGTGATACAGTGATTCATATGACAGGCACCTGCCCTCAGGAAGTGAATGGCCCCCACACACCTGTACCCTCCCAATATCAAGCCCCTGGCTCCCATTTTTTTCTCTCTCCATCAAATAAAACCTCTATTGACCAAAGTAACACAGCAAAATTGCTGTGCCTTGCAAAGGGTCTATGGGATGTTGCAGAACCTACACTTGCCTCAGACTTGATCTCCCACCTGCCCCTGGTGCTGTCACTTCATAGAGGAACTTAAAGCTATCGGATGGGATTCTCTCTCTCCACAACGGCAGCCTTACCTACATCTGTACCCATCTGCCTCCCATCTGAGGCCACCCCTTCCTGTTGATCTCATCCCCTCCCACTTGTCAAAAACTATACTGTCACTGTCAGCTGTCCTTCCTCTTGCCTGTATAATCACCTAGTCCATCTCAACTGGCTCTTGCCCATGGCCTTTAAACATGCTCAAGGCTCCCATCAGTAAAGAAAGAAAAAAATCTTCCTGGACCCCACATTCCCCTTCATTTCCCACTGATTGCCCAGTCTCTCATCCTCTGCAACAGTTCTAGTCTGCCTTCCACCCTTGTCTCTGTACTAAAATGGAAACCACTAATCAGACATTTCCAGGCCTCATCTTGCTCAATCTCTCAGCAGAATTTAAAATTGACAAGTGCTGCTCGCGTTTCCCTCTTGAAACTCCGTCTTCCCTTGGTTCTGCACCCTCACTGACCCCTAGGCTTCTGCTCTTCCTGCTGCCATCTGCCTCACCCTCCTCTCCTGGGTACCTTAACACTGCAGTTCCTCAAAGGTCAGTATGTTTTCACTGCTGTCCCCCATACCCACCAAATTCTGACATTAGGCACAAATCCATGCCCACCATCTTAATATGCTCTTGATCCCCAACTTTATCCTTCCAGCTTGGCCTTCTTTTCTGAGCTAGACCTTAATGCCCAGCTACAGAATGGCATTGCCTCCTAATAGCTCTCCGACACCTCCAACTCGGCACGTGCAAGAGCATGCAATCCAAATGGGACTCCTCCATTGGAACCTAAGCTTTCTCAGTGTCCTTTTCCCTCACACCCAGCATCGGGGTCACCAAGCCATGGTGACAGTGTCTCCTGTGCCTCTTTTACATCTCCTCATCATCACTGGCACCTTAGTCCAAGCTGCTGCCTGCCTTTATCCAGCCTTCTGCCATCCTCTACTCTCTGGCTTTTCTCTGTTCTGTTCTCCACACTACAGCCATAGTAACCTTTCCAGAAAGCAGAGTTGATTATACCATGCCTTCCCCAGCCTTCCTCTTTGCTCACTGCAGGCTCCCATTGCTCTTGGATTAGTAATCCAAATCCTAAGAATGCCCTCCCATGACCCTGCAGCTGCTCAGCACCCCCTACCTTGGAGACCCACCTGGAACCACTGGCCCTTCTCACTGGGCCCCAGCCACAGGCCTCCTCTACCCACCAAGCCCTGTCCTCTGTCAGCAGTGTTCTTCCTTCCCAACTTCACTGGTCTTTGCTAGTTAGGCCCTCTGACCCTTCACATTTCAACTCATATGGCACTTCTGTAGAACGTCCCAGGTCATTGTCCAGATCAGGTTTCTTTGTCATGTCCTCAAAGAGCTGTCTCTCTTTAAAGCACATATAACAGTCACTCTTGTGATTATTTTATTCCCAACATATAACCATGAAATCAGGCACATTTCTCTTGGTGCTCATATACCCCAACCTCACATGGCTCCTCACATGGGGTAAGCACTCAACTGTGTATTGGAAGAGTGAATGAAATGAACACTCTAATCTGGAAGATGTTTCAAGTGTGGGGTATTTTAGCACAATGTGATTGAAATAGAATGAAAATTCTAGTAAAAAATCGGTAATCAGGTCAACACAAAAAATTAAATAGAAGTGTAGTAGTGGCCAGGAGAGGAAGCTAAAAGTTTATAAATTTAGCCCTAGAACTCACCTTAAATTTTCCTTCAGCTCTGGGAAGCACACTGCATTTGCCACCAGTTGGTGAAAGTAGACACGGTTCCCAGCTTCTAATCCTGAAGGCACTTCTTTGGGATGCTCAGACTAGTAATAAATTCAAGTTTTTGCCAAAAATAAACTATACAAAACTTAAATGATCACAACCTACATAACTTGTCTGTAACCATGCAAACTTTGAGCCTGGCACATTAACACATTGTCAAAGCTTAAAATTTCTGATAATATAAGCATATTTACAGACTTTTTTGCTGGAATGGACCTTAGAAGTCAGAACAGTCAGCTAATTTCATACATTAAACATTTGAGGCCAAACACCTAGTTGTACTGGCAGAGAAGGTACTGTGAGTTGTTTTGCCACACAAGCCTTTTTCCTTTTAGAGCACCCTTCCTCCTTCCTTAATCAGCATGAACTCTTGAACTTCCCTTCTTCAGTATTAGAGTGACAACATTTCTGAAGCAGAGTGGAACACATACTCTTAAAAGTGGATACAGTGTTTGAAATAGTGTTCTTGAAAGCCCTAAGATAGGTGATCATCTTACCTAAATAATAGTATTTTTACAAATGAAGGGAAGAGCTTTTAAATTCATTTGACATTCTGCTGAAGGTTGTGTCAAACAGCTCCTGGTAGAGTTCATGCCTTTCATGCTATAGGAAGACCCTCGATCTGGGTTGGGGGAATATTTCCTCCTTCCTGTCTCAGGCTGTGCTCCTGGCAGGAAGACTGCAGAAATGACTGTGCCCTTTTCAGTCACAGGAGGCACATAAGGTCCACCTGCACATCACCATAACGTGCAGGTCAAGGTGGTGTCTGCCAGGTTTCTTAACGCTCACCAAGTTCCCCTCTGTATTTGATTAGTATTATGCCAGATCCTATTCCTATCAAATTTACTGGCCTTTAGCATCCACTGCCAGCTCCTGCCTGGTTCAACCACCTCCCCTGTGATAGCTGTCATAGTCATTAGCTGTGTCCACCAAGCCTTGTCCTAGCTATGTCCACCAATGACAACATTTATTAGTTGACATTCTACCATAAGAATACAAATAACTGTCAAATCACTGAAACCAATATAATGTTGTATATCAACTATATCAGATAAAAATAAAATATAAAAAAAACATACAATCATGGATCAAGTTTACATTACTGGAACCCACTATTTTAACATTAGAATAAATGTTAGCTCTAGAAAAGAGTAGATTGATTAATTACACAGTTGACTCTTGAGCATCATGGGGATTTTTTTCATAAGTATATTAGAAAAATTTTTGGAGATCTGTGACAAAACTTTTCTCTAGCTTACTTTATAGTAAGAATACAGTATAAAATACCTATAACATACAAAATATGTGTTAATCAGCTGTGTTATTGGTAAGGCTTTCCAGTCAACAATGGACTATTAGTATTAAGTTTTAGGGGAATAAAGATCATACCTGGATTTTTTACTTGGGGTGCAGCACTCCTTATCCTGGTGGTGGCCAATTGTCGACTGTATTCTGTATGTTTAATCTCAAAGGTATGTGATTTCATCATTAGTAAATAAAAGTGTGTGTATCTCCAGAAGTATGTCTGAATTTCCTAAGTGTTGCATTCATACCAGCCATCCACACTTACCAAGTATTGTCATTTTCTTCAGTTTCAATCAAGGCAAAAAAAATCCCAACATTCTTAAGAGACTGTAATTCACTAATTCATAAATTGTCATCATTGTTTTTCTTTGATATGAACTTTATCTTATATTACCTGTGAATATAATTTTACCAAAGTTCAGTCTCAGGGTTCTTATATTTTATGTAGAAAAAAATGTAAAAATCAAACTGACGTTTTTCCAGAAAACACTTCAAAATAATTTGTTGTTTCACATTCCTAATTATCCATTTACAGTTAAATATAATAAAGCATAGGTTCATTTCCATGTCAATAGCTATAATGTAAAAATACTCTTCTTCTATTAGGTTGTTTACTATGTCTTTGGCTGATACAACAGAAACAGATACAGATGAACACTTCTCCAGGGTGGCGTTAGCAAACAGTAGGAGGTCTACAGAATGCAGGAGCAGCCCAGGCACGGTTGATTTTCCAAGGAACAGTAATGCTTCTGATAAGAGTGTTGAGTATAGCAGATCTCAGTGTTCCTGCAGTTCAACTTCTCATTATGATTATTCAGAAGACTTTGTTGCTGAATGTTCAGGAACAGCTATTAATACAAATTATTTAGAAAAGCCTGTGGCAAAAGAAAAAAAGGAAAAGAATAAGTATAATCTCTCTAAAATCTCCCAACCTAAAGGTAAGAAGCAAAACTTCCCAACCAAGACCATGTTTCTGGTTATAATGACATTATTTATTTGAAGTGGTCCATATTCAGTTCTCTTGTTTTACCATATTGTAAATATGTAAATATTTAATATGTAATTTTATGAAATATGTAATTTAAATATAATATTTACCATATTTTGAATATTATAAATGTGTATTATAAGTACACTTTTTTAGAAAGAATTAGGAAATAGAGAAATAAGAATTACAAAGAAAGTTACACTTAAAATGTAAAACCCTCTTGCAAGACTTACCCTACTGGAGCCTCCTAACGAAGCCTAGTGTAAATGGATAAGTTAGTTCCATTTTCAGTTAACAGGTGGCCTTGTTACAGAGTGCCACAATACTTGGATTTCACTGGATTCTTGCCTTTCATCTCAGCTGAAGAATCAAGGTTTACGTCGCCAATGAACTGTAAATACCTGTCCCAGCATCCCAAGATGATCTCCAAGTCTGGTGAGGCATATTGGCAAAGACAATCTTTTGAAACAGGTGGTTCAAAAAATGATTATTAATGCATTTCCTTGTGGATTTTAAAAGTACCAAGACCATGCGCTCCTAATTGTCCAAACTGGAATTAGCCTTGTTATATCCTTCATCTCCTCACTCCCTGCCTCCCTGCCCAGACTGTGATTACTCCCTCCCACTTTCAGCAATCCCAGACTAGTAAATATTCCTTATATAGAAATGGCCGCAACTCTTTTTACTGTGACCCTCAGGACTGCCATCAGTCAACAGTTGGGAAACACTTTAAGAGTCCATGATATGTGGAGCACATCTGTCAGGGTTACCCAGGGTCTCCTGCCCCCAGCCTGCTGTGACCAGGTATGCTTATAACCTCCTCTGCCACTTCAGTATGATCTAGAATCTTCAGTTCCTCTTATTCCTAGCTATAGAATAGAGATTCTCAATCTAAGACCCAGGTCTGTGAACCCCATCAAATTCTTCATAGTTTTTGTCTCTTCGTGTTTGTGGACCTTGCTAGGGAGAAGGACCCACAGTTTCACCAGATTCTCAAAAGGTTAGACGTCTCCTTTCTAGAGAGGTGGGAGTCCTACACCCACTGATGAGGCCAGGGCAGAAGATGAAAGGTCCAGTTCTTTCTTTCACAGTGGGACACTCTGTCAAAAGAAGTCTGTTCATGGCATTTGGAAGAGATCATCACAACACAACATATATCATGGCTAGGTGCTACAGTTACAGTCCCTTATCCACATTTGGAATTTACAAAGCTCTAAAACCAAACATCTTATCGTTGGCACTGAAACTGATTTGACAACAAAACTGGATTTGAACTGACAGGACACTAATCTTACTTCATCTGGTGTGAATAGTCATATATTTCACTACGAAAATTGACTTTGATTAAAGTGTGCTCCCCAACCCTACTGGGAGTCCTATGGAAAAATACTATATTTGTACCATAAAATATAACCCCCCAAAAATTCTGAAAAAGCCTGGGTCCATCTATACACTACATTTTATAGTGATTCTATGCTTTTGTGAAGGGTAGTTAGCATTTATAAAACTTTTTCTATAAGAAACAGACACATTTTGAGTTCTAAGTGCCTTATAACTTCACTTTTTAGAGCTAATTCCTCATTTAAATATTCCACAAATATTTATTGAGTCCTTTAAGCAAGATACTTGGTTATTAAATGGGAGCAAGCTAAATTAATTTAGTCATTTCACAGTGCACTAGAATCCTAAATTCCATTATCTGAGTGGAAAGTTTGCTCTCACATGTGTACTCTTGTGTATTAATACACTGAAATTATTTTAAATAAATCTTGAATGCATCTTTAACTCAGCTTTTATATGTCCCTTAGGATCCTTCACCAGTGTGTGATGAACTTAAAGCACTAATTGTGGCATCAAACTTTGTCACAGAATGATAGAGTATTTCCTTGGCTTATTCTTTTTTCCCCCTTATAGCTTGTGTTTTGCAAGTGTTTGCCAAAGAAATTTAAGCAGCAAGTAATTAATTAATTCTGAGGTAATACAATTCTAACCCAAAACAAAGAGGCTTAAATGTTTTAGCCAGTGCAGTCCCTTCTCAAGAAATGTTCAGTTTCCATTCAGCTTTGTGATACATGAAAAGTAAACCTCTGACCCTCACAGGCTGCTAACACTGGATTATAAACCATCTATATAGACCTAGAATTCACTAAAGAATAATAACATCAGAGATTATTTTCAATTCCCATCTTAGAAAAATTGATGAAAACATTTTATGGCAGAAAAACAGGAAAACCATAGGGGTGAAATGAGGACTTCAATTTGATAAGATTTTTGCTCAAATATTGGAGATTTACTTGATGTAAACAGCAAGCAATATATTTCTACAATTTGATTTTCAAAAATTAGTTATTTCCTTCTTTTGCAGAAAATGTACTTTCAGAATTCTCAATCATATGTCCTCCACTGATGTGTTTTGTCAGCACAGCACCAAAATGTGCGGTAATCATTCCAACACTGGAATACCAAAAGGGAAGTAGTTTACCACACTGAACCACTGTGGACAGCTTTGCCCTGTTGTCTCCAGTCTGGTGGGTGTAGATGGTGTTCAAGAGAGGCCCTCTCCGGCAGACCAACACCAGAAGCCCAGAACAAAGGGGAAGGGCCTTCCTTTGAACCCCTTCTTACCCTGATCTTTGGAGGAAGTAACTTTATCTTCTAAGGTGGCCTGGAGGAGAGAGAGAGAGAACCTGGCAGAGGAGGGCAGAGCCAGCGGGCTCAGCATAAGGAGCATCCCAGCCCCAGAGTGTGGAAGGCACAGCCCAAGGAATGGGACAGGACAGCAAGGCCAGAGAGAAGGACCCGGGGGACTATGGGGAGGCCGGGGAGGCCAGGGAGGAACCAGCGTGGGCAGAGAAGAGCCGGAGCTGGACCACGGTGCCTCACAAAAGAGGGCTGAGGGTGAGCCTGTAGACCCGGCCTAGGAAGGGGGAGAACCCGCAGCCCCTGAGATGAGTGGGCACAGGCTCAGGCCTGCTCAGGAGCAGTTACCTCAAGGAATGTGAGGTGCACATTTTGGCTGACTCTGAACTTAAATATACATGCTTTTGGTGAATTAAGTCTACTGAAGTGTTGTAGCTTAGTGGTTTAAAAATCAGGTACCTTAAGAGTAGTTTAATCATTTAGCAAAACCTGCCTCCTTGTGAGAAATGGGATACCAGTTGTACATTTTTCCACTCTTATTATGTATAGGTTAAGATAATGAGATATAAAACCACTAAGGATAAAGCCCCATTTCAGTGTTCCCTAGCCTGAATTATTATATAAGTATATGTGATACATATAGTATATAATATGAATTTATTCTATATCACTCAAATGCAAGAGGTATATTTACCTTTCTGAAGTAGTCAACTCTGGTTCGTCCTCTCCCACACACCTACTAGGGTAGACAAGAAATTCAGTCTCAGGCATGTGTAGGGGATGAAGCAAGTGTGGGGGCCTTACACAGACAACACCAGGGAAGGGCCTCCGGTCCTTCACTGTCATCACTTATGTGTTCCTTGTCTAAGCCCGTGCAGTATTCCAAAGGCTGACAGCCTGTTTGCCAAGCACCCGTGCCTCTCTGCACATCTAGACCTGGGGCCTTGTCCAGCACTCCCATGGCCAGGGGGTTAGTCCCCCAGTACCCACTCCTGCTGACTGCTCCCATGTAACCCACCACCCCTCATCCTCTAGTCTCCAGGAGGTCCCTTTCTCCTCCCGGGTCATAGCACCCAAGAGTTGGAAGGCATTACAAGCTGAGGTCAAGTCCAGTCATGCTGGACACGCTGTAGGACATGACAGCCTGATCCACAATGCCTGGGTCCAGGGCTCCCCTCGCCAGGGCCCAAGTGCCTGGCCTTGACACAACTACAGACCCCTCTTCACTGGCCTTAGGAGGTGCCAACAGTCTGATGTTAACTTTCCAGTTTTAAGTGTGCTTACAAGCCTATTCCAAAGCACTCCAATAGTCAACCATAATCCCTACTAAATTGTTCCCAGTAGGAAAACAGAAACTTTTGGAAGCATAATTATCAAGACAGTCCTTCAGTTACTGATGTGAGGCATACTGTGATCATTCTCAAATCTATGTGGTCTATCATACTCAAGATTCAAATGCTTTCTTCCCAGAAAGCATCCTCTATTTCTATTAGCTCATTTCCATCACAGAATCACCTCTCCTACCACATATCCCAAACACATTAAGCCAGTGTTTCAGATGCCAGGTCCACACTTGGCCCAATAGCTTAAGACTAGGACTCAGGGCCATTGGCCAGTAAGCGCCTTTCTCACTCCAAAATGAGGAGCACATTTTTTTAGATTCTAGAATCCAGTTTGAGTCTCTCTCAGAACACAGATATGCTAATGTGTATACTAACGTGTGCATACATATATACATACACAGATACACATATATAAGGGATAGTAAGAAGCACAGGCACACAGACCTGGTTTTGTCCCACCACTTACTAGCTGTGGCCCATTGGAAAGTGACATTGCTAAGCATCAGTTTGTTCATCTTTAAAATGGGACAATATAATGATGTTACTCATGCATTTGACATAACTCAAATTCAGTTATGTTTGGTGCTTATAAGTTTGGCATAATATTGTTTGGATACTTCTTGTTTAAAATAGATTACTGAACACAGCCAACCAATGACTTCATTTAGTGCCCAAAGTAACAGAGGAAAACTTGGCTGTGTTATATTTATTGAGAGATGGAATATCTGTATTTATACTCTAAGCAGGTTAATGGCTTTTAAGGGTCTTTTTGAATATGTGAGATCTTCATATATAATGTTGACCTCCAATTTTACACGCATACTGTTGGAAGGATTACATCGGATTATCTTCATAAAACATTTAGTTCAATGTTTAATGTATGATGAGTCCTTAATGTTATCTATTATTATGGTTTTTAGTATAACTTTTGTAATAGAAGCAAATACATGTTTTAGAGTCAAATTAGACCTGGCTTATAATCCATTCTGTGTCACTTTGTGGTTATATAATATTAGACAAGTGACTTAGAATCTCCAGGTGTAAGACAGACTACTGCTGACCTTAAAGAATTGTATTAAGTGAGCTATCTATATATAAAGTACCTAGCCTGAAGTGTGGGTATTCATTAAATGTTAGTTCATTACCCTTTTAGTTTGTATGTGTGTGCAGGGTGGGTGTCACACATGCATACATATTCATATACCTGCATATCTATATACATAGCACTAGTAACAGACTGGATTATCTGCTTACACAGGCCAGAAGGAAATCTCAGTTGAAAGAAGGCACAAGTGGAATGCACTATTTTTAAGTTCTCAAACCAATGTGATTAACCAAAGAAGAGATGCTCTGACTCGTCGCATACTCTCAGCAAGGCTTCATAAGGTTAAAGAGCTAAAAAATGAGTTAGCTGATATACATCGTAAACTGGAGGCCACGGTCATAGAAAACCAATTTTTGAAACAACTTCAGCTCAGGCACTTGAAAACTATAGGAAAATATGAGAATTCACAAAATAATCTACCTCAAATTGTGGTTAGACATCAGAATGAAGTAAAAAACTTACGGCAGCTACTCAGGAAATCCCAGGAAAAAGAAAGAACTGTATCTAGGAAACTTAGGGAGATCGATGGCGAACTACTGAAGACTAAGGATGCCTTGCGTGAACTGCAGAGACTTTCTGAAGACAAAAATCTTGAGGAGAGAGAAGAACTTACTCGAAGATTGTCTATTCTTACAACAAAAATGGAGGCAAACAACAAAAAAATACAGGTCTGTATTGCAGAGGCCTAAAATTTTTAAGGTTCCAGAATTAATATGGAGAGGGTACATATGGGTCATATTTGCCCTGTGTAAAGAAGTGTCACCAGCTGCTTCGCTGGGCAGGCCACATGAACCATATTGTCTGAGGGGTAGTGGGGTTGAAGGAGAGGTAGAAACAGCTCAGAACTGGACCCGCTCCCAGCTCCCCTTCTGGGGCTGGCTCGCCTACCTGGAAGTCACTGTTCTCTAAGGCAGCTACCAGTCAGGGGCTGGTCAGGGGCTGAAAAGGTTGGGTTGGCCTGTGCGCAACCTCTTAGAAACCAACCCACTGCTTATCAACCTTCCTTGGAAGGCCGCTTCCCTATAGACCTAACAGTGGGTGCTTCGCCCCCTTTGCCTCATCGTCCCTCAACCAATTTGTCAATCACTGCCACACAGCCAGGGTTGGTATTTGAGAAATAGAAATTTTTCCAGTTAATACGACTGGGAACAGGGAGAAAAGAGGAATTAAAATCACTGAAGAAATAAATCCATTGATTTTCCTCAATAGCTCATGGCTGACAAAAGCTTGGGGATTATATCATAAGGGATGATTTGGGAAAGCACCCTGAGAATATTGAAAGTTCTGTCTCTTATTGAGACAGTTCTTGGTTTCTATGGGCATAAACACAAATGGAATTAATTTACTATTTAATTCCTTAATACATGACAGTGAGAGACAAGTATTTTTTTATGATCTTAAAATAATAAAATACCAAGTTCATTTGACCCATTTTTTAATATTACTATTTCTTCTTTGGTAAAATCCTCTACTTTCAAAGAGAATTTTCTCACATAAAACAGATATGTGAGCTACAGAAAATAATAAGCAAACTTGTTTTCACTCATGTAGTTAGTGCACCAGAGTTCTATTATTTGGCCTTTTAGGTAATACTGGGTCCCTTTAAGCATGTCTGTCATGTAAAAGTAAATGCATTTTAACTCATCTATGTGTTTTTACATAAATCGTTTAACATTTATGTTATATTTTTATATCTATAACCAAAACTAAAAAGAATTCAAGAACTAATTATTTTCTTTTCAGAAGCACCCAGTTGTATGGGAGATTTCACTGGTTATAGGGTATTTGGTTGGGGAAAAACATAGGTCAAAACATGTAGGGTTTTTTTATGTTAATATTTTAGAAAGTGGAATTTTTAGTGATTATATTATACTTTTAGCTTACCATATTTCCCACTTTTTTTAAATGAGAAAGTATTAATGTTATAATAGGAGAAACCACATGCTGTGGAAAAAGAAAACCCAAAGGCCTTGGCCAAGCCTCTGTGAGAGCCCAGATCAAACAGCTCTCCAATAAAGTAGCTCCCATTCCAGAGAGAAGGTGGTATACGGCAGCAAGGCATGCTGAGCCCTGTGTGTAGGCAGTTACTGGGCTAAGTCATTCCTTTCGCTGTCTTATAATTCCTCTGTGGGTGTGGCTCTGTGAGCCCCCAATGGGCCTGATCTCAGAATCACAGTCCAGGACAGTTTGCACCGATGTCAGACGACCCTTTAGCGAGTGAGGCTTGAAAGATTTTTGCCCTATGCCAAGACGGCAGGACAGTTCATTTCTGCAGAACTGCTTAAAGTATGACATTGGTTATTTTTATTGATTATCAGGTCTGTTCCAAAAAATTTTTTATCAAATTCTAGAGTGTAAAAAACATTAGGCTTGAAACATGTTTATTCTCTAGCATTAGAATCTGGGCTTTTTTTGCCTTTTGTGTGTGTAGTTATATTTAGTTCTAATGTATGTGCTTATTATACAGGCCATCCACTAAAACTATTAAAATTCCCACTTGTCATCAATATAATTAACTCTACTACAATTGAATTTTCTAATAATACGACATTGGTTATGTGATAGTTGAAATATTTACTGTTTTCAGAGCTTAGAAAAACAACTAGGGTTGAACAACAGAGCCTTTAACCGGCAGTTGGCTGTTGAGAATCGGAAGACTTTAGCTGCTCAAACAGCTACCAAGACTCTGCAAGTGGAAGTAAAACACCTTCAACAGAAACTTAAGGTACTTCTTTTAAAGCAAATTGTAGCAAAATCTGTGAAATTCCGTTCCCCAAAATATCAGTTATTTATACTTATTATATCTTTAAATTATTTAACTCTAGGAATATGCTTCTCAAATTAACCTTTTTCTCTGCAACCAGATGAACAGATAGAGGATCTGAAATTATTATAATGATTTAGCCTGGTGAATGTGAATAATTAGAAAACTTAAAGCTCTGTTCTATTCATTACCAAAGACTAATTATTTTTATTTCTTCACATGAAATAATATTTAGTTAACATTCTAATGGATCCCAAAAGAAGTTTTTAAATTTAAAAATTAATTTATAACATTAAAGGTTTGGTGTAATTTTAGTGTCCCAGAAATTTATTTTAAAGCTCACTTACAAATATGCTTGCAAAATCTTTTAAAGTGTGCTTTAAAAATAAGAATTAAAAATATTTATTTGTTCAGACTTTTGCTATCTTTCTGCCTTCAAGATTTCTAAAATGTCCAACAAGTTGGAAAAGCTAAATAAGACGCTTAAGAAATAGAGCTCTTTCAATCTTCAGTTAGTATATCTTGTTTGATTCTTTAAGACAAGAATCTTTAACTCTTTTATGACAGGTGGGGAACTCAGATTTCCCAGGAGCTTTTAGAGCACTCAGAGACAAACAGTATGAAATTTTAAAAAGTTGAAAAGTATTGACAAATCAAAAACTCAGAGGCAAAGGAAAGATATGAGGGGGAGGAAGATGGATGCAAATTCACCCTTTGTAAAGCTGGACAAAGAGTTCTGTTTCTTTCTTCTCTGGAGTCTTAGGAAACTTCAGAATATGCCAGAAAATGGGTGTGGCCATAGCAACCAGCTTAGAAATCTAACAGGAGAGGCCTCTAGATCCACTGGTGGAGGCAAACACACACACACATATGGAGAAACAATCAAGGAATTTTAAAATAAATTGTGTGCTTTCCTATGCAGCCATATGCATAAAAATACTATGCAGCCATTAGAAAACAATTTTCACAGAAATGCTTAGCACTTAATGAAATGCTTAACGAACAGAAAGAAAATTTTGTATATAGTAAAATCCAAATCTATCTTTAAAAAAAAAGTAACATACTTCCTCCACACAGTGGATTTCTGTGCATCTGTTAAAAGGAAGGAAAACTCTTTATATAGTAATGTGGAGGAAACTCCAGGATATGTTAGTAACTGAAAAAGCGAAGGCGGAGGAAAGTGTGTAGTAGGCACCATTTAGGAAAAGGAGGCGATGCAAACATATCCATATATTTGCTTATATTTTAAAAGAAAAGCAATAGAGGAATAACAATGGAAATGGGGAGATAATAGAGTAGAACACAGATAGTTATAGAACCTAAGTCTCTTTGAATATCTTTTTGGTAGATTTGACTTTGGAACCATGTAAGTATTTCTGCATAATTATGAAACAGAATTAAATTTTAAAAAGTTGAAAAGTATTGACAAATCAAAAACTCTAGAGATCAAGAGATCTCTGAAATAAAAGGGTTTATAGAGCCATTATAGGTGCAGCCAGAACAGGACTGAGTGCTGGGACAGGAAGTTTCTGCTTCACCAGCAGCAAGGCTTGTTAACAGAAAGAGCTTGTGTGCCAGACTCCGGAGGAAACAGGGAATATTTATGAGGGGTCTCAAGGAAAGAAAGTTATTCAAATTCACTTTGGCTACAGATAAGGAAGGTGGGCAAATGCAAATCTGGGAAAGTCTGGGAACAGGTGGTTAGTCCACAGAGAAGGCTCGTGGATTATTTGCTGAAGAAATTCAGACACTGTTCACACGCAAGGGGGTTGTAGTAGATCTGGGGACCTTCTAGGTAATTGTTTAGATGACTACATCCAGGAACGTGAAGTTTTTGGTTTAGCTGTGGACTGCAGCTATTGGCTGATGACCTTCACTTGTCTCTCTCATTCTCTGGCCCTTATATCACTTAAGTTTAGGACATTTCAGAATTTTTCTTTATTCCCTAAAATCCCAAAGTAAAATGAAAACAGTGAACCCACTGTGCATTCTCATGTTGGAATAATGTAATAGAGACATGATTCCAAGCAGCTTAAATCATGTTAATTTCACTGCATTTGCCTAGTGAAATGCATTCTTGGTGGTCATGTTGATATGGTTATTTTGAGACTGTTAAGTGTATCTTAAGGGATAAAGCACATAATGAATTACATTGGTGTCACTGAGAATTGGGATTTGGGAATGGAAGGAAGAAAATAGTGAAGTAAGATAAGGTCAAATAAAAATCGTGTAGTCTTGATTGTGAATTAAAATGAAAGTATGAATTTGTAATATCTTTTATCTTTAGAAATGAATACATATTTCATAATGTGAACAACTCAATAGCTATGAATATTCCTAGTACCCAGATTATGGTCTTCAAATGCCATACCCCACTAAAAAGAACCACGGTGCCTTAAAAAATTCTAGGCCTAGAGCATGCTACATGAAGTAGGCCACATGAGCCTACAACGTTTTGTAATACAAAATCAAGGAAACTATGAAGAACTATTAGGGTAATATCAAAGAGGCTCAGGAGCTGTCTGGAATAGATTCTTACCAGCCAAAGACCATGCACTTTGAGAATCAAGGACAACTTCATGGATTTAAACTTATCAAATAAAGAGAAATCCTCAAGTTCATAATGATACTTAAAAACAAAAGAGACACAAAATAGAAATACCATTTGACCCAGGAATTCGACTTCTAGGAATTTACCCTAAGAATACAGTAGCCCAGTTTGAAAAAGACAGATACAACCCTATGTTTATCACAGCACTATTTACAATAGCCAAGAAATGGAAGCAACCTAAGTGTCCATCAGTAGATGAATGGATAAAGAAGATGTGGTACATATACACAATGGAATATTATTCAGCCATAAGAAGAAAACAAATCCTACCATTTGCAACAACATGGATGGAGCTAGAGGGTATTATGCTCAGTGAAATAAGCCAGGCAGAGGAAGACAAGTACCAAATGATTTCACTCATACGTGGAGTATAAGAATAAAGAAAAAAACTGAAGGAACAAAACAGCAGCAGAATCACAGAACCCAAGAATGGACTAACAGTTACCAAAGGGAAAGGGACTGGGAAGGATGGGTGGGAAGGGAGGGATAAGGGGTGTGGGAAGAAAGGGGGCATTATGATTAGCATGTATAATATGGGAGAAGGCACGGGGAGGGCTGTGCAACACAGAGAAGACAAGTAGTGATTCTACAGCATCTTACTATGCTGATGGACAGTGACTGTAATGGGGTTGTGGGGGTGACTTGGTGAAGGGGGGAACCTAGTAAACATAATGTTCCTCATGTAATTGTAGATTAATGATACCAAAAAAAAAAAAGACCATGTGAGAAGGAATGTGAGACAAAACAAAACAAAACAAAACAAAACACACACCTCAGTGATGAGTCAGTCACATTAGAGGATACTAGAGAATGAGCACACTGTTTCAAAAACTGGTAAATAAAGAAAAATAATTATTTTTATTTTTCCTGTATTCACAGTAGAGTTTCTGAGGAGGGAAACTCTGATTATAAAAGAACTCCAATTAACAATGAAGAAAGGATGCTAAGATTAAAATATCACTATTTTGGAACTCCTAATGAATTAATGCATCTAAGCAATGATCATAATGGCTGCTAGAATCTCAAAAGAGACACCATCAGACATTATACACTTCCTGACTGATATACACACCACCACCTATGGAGTATTTTTGCTGAAAAAAGGTACCTAGATCTGATTAAACATTTAGGTCTAACTACCAATTTAAAAGAAATATAAGGGGCAAAGGAGTGTGATAAATAGCACTGCAGGGATGCAATCAGCAATATCAGACTGTGGAAACAGTACAACACAAAACCTAATTTCCACAATAAATAAATAGCAAAGCAGGACAAATAAAAGAAATGAGGTGGGAATTTAATAGATTAAAAGAGACTATGAGAAAAACTCAAAAACTAAAAAACAACCCAATTCAAAAATGGGCAAAGGACATGAATAGATATTTCTCCAAAAAAGATATATAAATGGCCAATAAGCACATGAAAAGATGCTAAACTATTAAGAAAATGCAAATCAAACCTTTAGGGTGGCTATTATAAAAAAACAGGAATCAGGTGTTGAGAAGGATGTGGAGAAACTGGAACCCTTATGCACTGTTGGGAGGAATGAAAAATGGTACAGCCACTATGAAAAACAGTATGGCAGTTCCTCAAAAATTAAAAATGCATCTGATTCAGCAATTCTACTTCTGGGTATGCCCAAAAGAATTAAAAGCAGAATCTTGAAGAGATACCTGTACACCCATATTCATAACAGCATTATTCTCAATAGCTAAAATGTGAAAGCAACCCAAGTGCCCATCAACAGATGAATAAATAAAATGGGGTGTATACATACAGTGGAATATTACTCAGCCCTAAAAAGGAAGGCAAATGTGACACATGTTACAACATGGATGAACCTCGAGGACATTATGCTAAGTAAGCTGGTCACAAAAAAGAATGCATGATTCCACTGATATGAAGTACTTACAGTAATCAAAATCATAAACACAGAGTATAATTGCTAGGAGCTGGAGGAAAGGGGAAATGAAGAGCTTGTTCAAAGGAGACAAAGTTCAGTTCCTCCAAGATGAAAGAGCTATGGGAATGGATGGTGGTGATGGTTGCACAAAAATGTGAATGTAGTTAATGTTACTCAACTGGACACTGAAAATGATTAAAATGGTGAAATTTATGTTATGTGAATTTTACCACTACTTTAAAAAGAGAAAAATACCCACTGGATTGCACACTTTGAAAGGGTGAATAGATATGGGATCTATCAGTAAAGCTGTAAACAAATTTTTACAAAGACTAAGAGACTTATTAATCAAGTTCAATGTTTTGGACCTTATTTGGATCCTGATTCAAACAAACATTAAAAAAAAAGATAGGACAGTTGGAGAAATGTGAAACAAACCAGAGATTT